ATCATCTGATTTAATATACTACATAACATATTTATTAAAAAATTATTATTATTTTATCTAAAATTATAACATATTTATTAAAAATTTATTATTATTTTTATCTAAAATTAAAAACAAATAAATTTAAAATACAGCTATATATAATTATATATAGAAACCAACTAAATTGGCTCTACTTCTATTATATTCTAATGGTTGAATTGGATAAGTGTCGAAAGATATAATGAATCAAAAAGTGTATTGAATCAAAAAAGTGTATAAATTACTTTTTATAATAAATATAAATTTTTTATCAATTATCAACTATTTTTAATAGTCTAACAAAAATAAAAATTAAACAGTTTGTATACCCATAATAGGTGGCTCATAAACCTTTCAGTCGGCCATTGTCTATATCTCCCCACACTTTTAGTACATGCTAATTTTCTTGTAAATTTTCATGCTACTGCTATAGTAATTTTTAATGACATAATAAGAAGTAATAAAAAGTTGAATTCATCCTTAGAAAATCTATTTTGTTTTTCCTTTGGGGAAAAGAGGTTATTGTCATTTTGCCTCTCGTATTGGCAGATACAGATACGTGATTTTTCAGACGTCGATATATGATTTTTCAATTAGGTATATAACATTATGCAGCCAAAAAAATGTATTGTGTATTAAATGTATCAGGCTAAAGTTAATTGTTAGGTACCAGTACAAAATGGTATTAAGACTATTCTTAAATTTTCTGTAGAATATATTGAAGTTTCAGATGTCAAATTTGGCCCCAGGAAGTAGTGGTTCAACCCTGGAGAAGTTGAAGAAGTTCACAAAATGTTAGAGAAGTTTCTAAGTTGAAAGTATCGACCCCTTCTAGAGGGACTTGATACCGTCAAAATGAGAAGCGGCATAGAAGAAGTAAGGGTTTTCGAGAGAATTTTAGAGCTTGGGAGCGAGTGCTACCAAATTGTTATAATTTTAAGAGTTTTTCACATTAAATTTGTATGTTCGTTTTTTCTCCCTTACTTCTTCATAGTTGGCTCTAAGCCTTTTATTTATTTTGGGAAGCTCACATATAACTATATATTAGCCTCTGAGTACTATGTACTTGATGATCAATTGAATCACAAAAATGACTTTGACCTACAAGTATTCAAATACTTTTATCAAAAAAAGTTACATGTCACATTGGATAACCGACCTATAAATTTACTAAATTTTTTTTAATAAAACTCTTTTTCATAATATTATCATCAATAATATTTCAATCATTTTAGTGAGAAAATTACATTTTTATTGTGTAATGTAGGTTAACTTAAAAAACTAAAAACTCTATTTACCTCATCCCTTTTTAATTTTCTTTATTTTAGATCATTAATGATATTCTGAGCCAGTTTAACCATACTAGATAGTTAACGAGACCATATGAGAGAAAAGAAAGTGAAATGATGGGATAAGATGGCTATGTATTACATAGAGATTACGGTCGCCCTACAAGCGACCTCAGTACATAGGACAAAATAGGATAACATGGCTCCTAAGGGAGACTCATCCAATGGATTTTCTACATCCATTTTATTATTTTTATCCTTCTATTATTATATATCCTTAAGCTGTAACTTCCCTCCTCAGTTTCTCACTTCACCCTGCAATTCATTAAAAAACATACTAATTAGTTTCAAAAAATAAAATGAAATCATTATTATTTCAATATATAAGGAAATTTTTATAATCAAAATGTTAAAAATAATAATAAAAAAATTAATTATATAAGTTATTAATATTATTTTTTTAAAAGATTGTGAATTTATTTAGCTCACAAGCTGAATTCAAACTCAAACTTGCTAAAACTTCAAGTTCATTACCATAATTTCAAATTTATAGGTTTAGGTTTCGGTTGATAATAGTTTTTGATATTTTAACTTCTACTAAGGCCTACTACTATTCGGTCCAGCCCTGTCTCTCCATCTCCGTCCAGCATCTGGCTCCAGCGGGACAATTTTCTTTTGA